CGCTCTCTCTCTCGCTCTCTCTTTCTCTTTCTCTTTCTCTTTCTCTTTCTCTTTCTCTTTCTCTTTCTCTTTCTCTTTCTCTTTCTCTTTCTCTTTCTCTTTCTCTTTCTCTTTCTCTTTCTCTTTCTGTTTCTCTCTCTCTTTCTGTCTCTCTTCTCTCTTTCTCTCTCTTTCTCTCTCTTTCTTTCTCTCTTTCTCTCCTTCTCTCTCTCTCTCTCTTTGTCTTTCTCTTTTTCTTGCTGTTTCTGTTTCCGTGTCTCTTTCTCTCTGTGGCTCTCTCTTCCGCTCTCTTGCTCTCTGGTTGGTTGTGTCTCCGCAATTCTGTTGATTTGTGCCCTGTGCCGCATGTTTGTGCAGACTTGGCTGCAAAGGTCATTGATCGCTTGAACCCCGCTGTCGAGACTCACCACATTGTCGCGCGCGTGGTCCGCGAGCCGGTGTTTATGGCAGGGCATGGTGCATGTGCCCAGAAGCTTATCCTGCCACCGAGGCATGTGTTGGGGATTCTCTCACTGCCTGTGGCTATCCCAAGTTCTTACAGGCACTGGGGAACGATTGGGCATGAGCCTTTCCGTGATAATGACATTCAAAGCTATCCATGTCAGCGCGCCGCTTGTTGAGGCCCGCTTCGACCGTGCAGGGATGAACGTGCAGGCGATCGTTTGTGCAATGCTCCCGAAACCATGTGCTCGATTAGTCGGTTGCTCTCTGTGAGTCATGTAGTGTTGGTTTCCATCTCCTTGGTCGCCGGCCAGTTACAGTGCAATTCAGCGAATATCCATAAGCGATATGCCTGTTTCCTGAACAACGAGGATCACGTTATTTGAAATTGGCCGGATACCTCGTGAAGTGCTTGCACGCTTTGTTGATACCGATTGATGCTGCAGGTGCGGAATTTTGGAGTTGCCGGTGCCACTGTGCAGAAGTTTGCCGACCAGCCGTACTGGGAGGATGTGTCAAGCGCTCTCATCCGCTCTTCGGAGAATCAGTGGTCAATGTCGACAGGAGCGGAAACTGGACGATGTGCGAGTGCCGAGAGCTCATGACGCGCGCTGTGCAGCCTCAGGTATGATGTTGCATATGCTCTCCCGTGCAGGTGGCGACCGCACTTTGTCGTACTGCTCTTCGGTACCAACGATGCAAAGTCAGGGAACTGGGAACCCGAGGCTTTTGAGAAGGACTGGGATGTTCAACCCGTCATGTTTGGAAACTCCACTGCGAAATTCATGCGAGAATGAGTGCGTATCTGTCGAAGTTTTGGCTCCAGCTATTTGGGTCCAACTGCGAGCCCAATGAGTGGTGAAGGCAGAGTTTCTGGTTGTATTTTGCTCTCGTTTCGGATGGCTTTGCCAGGTGAGGCTGACGGCCTCCGAAGGCGAGGGGCGGCCGAGCGCTCCGGCGATCAGGTCCCGGTGTCTCAAAAGTTCCGGATTCCAGCCTCAGCCTCTTGGAATGTCAGGCGCAGGCTACAGACGATGAGGTGGAGACATTGCGCGCCAGCCTTGCTGCAAAGCGAGCTGAGCTGCGCCTCACCTCGGCGCCTATCACGACGGTTCCCTCTGCCTGTGGGGAGAGGGCCCCTACGTGTCGTGCTGCCGTGAAGACTTGTGCACAGTTCAGGCATGTGACTGACTTTATATGCATGCGGATAGATCTCCTAATTCAAGCAACTTGCCAGGTGGTGCTGTTCACGATCAGCGCGATCGAGTACATCATCTATTGTCTTCGAGCAGTCTTGACAAGCCTGATGACTTGGCTGCTCGGCGTGCCGCTGCCGCCTGGTGAAAATTAGCGACGTTCGGCACCTGAATTGAAATGGGTCGCGGTCATCGCTTGCAAGATCCAAGGTTAGCAGGATACTTCTATTTGAAGCTGTCTTATGCACCAGAGCTGTTCGAGGCACCAGGGTCCGAACACTTCCCGAACCTTCGCTTTCTCTGCGCCAGGCACCGGTGTGTGGAGTGAAGACTGCGGCACCGCTGTGGCATCTGGAGCTGGCAGCCAAAGAGGCGACTGCAGCATGCGGAATAAATTTCCATTGAACACTTGCATCCTCCAGAAGTCGAGGAGCACTGTCTTGAGCTGAAGAGGTTGGGAAGGAACCAGAGCCTGCTGCAATCAATGGAGAAGCCAAAGTCGGAAGGGGTCAGGTTCTGTCAATCAATCTGGAACCCGCCTTTCACAAGCGGCTGTTTACCGAACATTTTGTAGCGTACTACAGCGTGCAGAGCCCTGCGCACGCCTGTGCCACCGGACAGCTGTTTCTTGCTGAACGTTTTGCTTGACAATCCTTGCATTGTCGTGGTCTCTTAGACCCTGGTATGGAAAATGTGAATACATAAACAGGTCTCTTGTCGCTGCCGCAGCAGAAATGCCCACTAGCTTTTGCTGTCGCAGCTTCTGCAGCGCTGCTGCTGTTGTTGTGGCTGCTTTTGCTGGTGCTCTTGTTCTTGCAATGGTGGTTGTTCGGTTCCAAGCGTGAACGAAGAGTCTGCGTAAGACGGTTTCAGTAGTACAACATGGAGCTGGGCTGGTGTGTGGGAGCCGGGTAGTCTTATCAGTACAATGTGGAATCTCGTGACTACTTGTCTTCGTTCTGTTCTATTCATTATTTCAGTGCTCAATCCAATCTTGTTAAGCTCTATTTCGGGTGTCCGGTCTCAATAGGCCTTAACAGGGGTTGCTTTTGGATATTCGAAACAGCCTCGCCAGACCATCGCGCCTGCAGAGCCCAGAACATTGCCCTTCTCCACAGCGTCTGCTCTTGCTGTTTGGTTGCTTGCGCTGCCCTGTTGGTTGGCCTCCTGCCCTTTTCCACACGTAGTCCTTCTCTTCCCTGGCCTCTCGTTTCCACGCTCCGCCCCATCCCCCGCATCTAACCTTGGCTGCATAGAATGACCAGTATTTGTTAACGGGAGGCCCATGCAACTTTGTGAGTGCAGACAGTCAAGCTCCAAGCTTCATCAAGTTTCACCAATTCGGTGATGCGTCGGATGTAACCCTGGCTCGATATGTTGGCATTGTCTTAAGCAAATTCCCTGCTGGTGGCAAGCGTCTCTCCCCTGTTTGTTGTGCCTTTAGTTTCAGTCTTAAGTTTTGGAAGCCTGCATGGTTGGAATGATAAATGCTGAGCGATGGGAAGAGATGCATAAGCGAAGCGACGCTGAAGCAAAGGAGCGAGAGTCTGAAAGTGGCCAGCATTGGCCAGCATCGCATCGACACAAGGTTCGTCGACCATCAAACTACAGCAAAACAGTGCAAGGTCGAGAAATAGGGCAGGATTCAAAGACGCAGGAAGAAGTTAGGATGATGATTGGCACGCCAGTGATGTTAGGGTAGGTGCGGGCAGAAGCTTCTTGTTATTGCTGCAAGGCCGCGTGGTGGATCATTCTTGGTGTCTTGTCCTCCGTCTGCCTGCCTCGCTTGCAAACTGACCGCTTGATTCAACACCACTCGCCGTGGCAGGTTGGTTTCGGAACGGGTCTGCACTCAGGCATGCAACAATGCAACCGCTGGCAAATCTGCTCGATGCTGATAGCTAACGTGTTGATGATGAAATGAAATGTACAGTAGTGATTTGAATAGATGTGCAACCTGTGGCACATTGGCTTTGGTGCAGGCATGATGTTCCTCTTCCCCCACGTGCTGCAAGTTGTCAGCGCTGCAGAAAGCTGTCACACAACTAATGGAAGCTTGGCCCGCAGCTTTGGGTATTGTCACACCTTTTACGAGTTGATGCATGTGTCTCTGCTTGTAGAAGTTGCATTGCATTGGGCGACCGAGGTCTTATAGCGTGGTACCAACACCCTTGCAAGCTAGACTGCAGCACCACCACAGCTCCCTTCGATGATAGCACCGTGCCTTGTCAACAAGCTTCCATGTGTGCTGAGCTGTATGAGCAGCATCCCCGCTTTCGAGCAAAAGGGGCGCATGGTATGATGCCCCGTTCTGGGTCTTGCATGTGTGCCTTGTGTAGGTGACATTCTGGAACCTGTGGATGAAGGCAGATTTGCATGCTCTACACTCTACGCTGTGTAATTACTCTCACATTGACATGTTCGCGGCATGTGTGCTGGCATTGCTCCATATCGCCACGAAGCTGGTCTTGATTGGTCAGGTGACAGTTCCCTGCATGCTATGGGGGTTTGGAACCGCCGTTGGTGAGCTGCAACTTGGTGTGAAACGTCTTCACTGCCCATAGCCGGTTGAGATCGTCCTTGAAGTCTCTGTGCATTGTAGGGGTTCAGAGGGGCTTGTCGCCGCCGAACTTGTTGGTATGTCAGCTTATCTTTTAACTGGATGCAGAGCTTGTCAGTCTCAAGAGGGAGACGATGAGTATGCAGTGATTGGGCACGATTTGCACAGCACCTCCTGTTCTGTTCCTGACGGAGCCTTTTCCGAGGCCCCCATACCTTGTCTCCAAGGCTCTTCTGAACACATCTGTCGGACATGCTGTCACGTATGCACGACACACTTTACCCGCTCTTTTTTGCAGGCAGCTCGCTTGTCTGGATCCACCGACGAGGAGTTCGCAAAGGAAATGGAGGCAACAGAGTGTGCCCCGAAGAAACTCCCCACTGCAAGCGCTCCAAGTTGCTCCTGTAAAGATAGGAAGCAAAGAGCAAGACTGACGTCTTCAATCGAATGAAGCTCTGGACCGTGGCTTGGCAAACCAGCATCTGGATCGAGTGCGATGCTGCTGTTGAGGCGCGAGTGGCGCGATATCTGAGGTGAACTTCACGGAGAAGCATGGCTTTCTTGGCATCTTCCTTCTAGCGCCCGCCTCTCAGTCCTACAGTGGATATGCACATCAAGATCCATGCTTTGCCCAAGCTTGCAGGTCCTGGCCCAATGCTGCCTTCGACATGTGCGGCGACTTGTTCTGGGAATAGATCGCAGCTGCATGGTGGCAAGGGCAACTTCGACAAGATATGTGCACGACAACGTGGCTGAGGCATGTGCTGTGGCTACTTACTCATGCCCTTCTGGACCTTTTTCATCGCCACTGCACTAGGCAGCTCCAACAATCAGACGTGTGAGCATGGGGCCCCAGGCCCTGCAAACGCATTGCATCCAGGCAAAGGCGTGGTGAAGGTCAACGGTCAAGCTGTTGTTTTCGTGAATCTCTTCGGTTCCACTGCCTTCCAGGCAGGACCCTTGGTCAGCTCAAGACGTCTGTGTGTGCATCTGTGTGTGCGTGCTGACATGCAGATATCTGCAAGGTAATGCTCAAAGGTTTCGACTATCTCAACGGTCTGGTGGAGGCGAGATTTCGCTTTTTTTTCTCCGAGCAGCTCAAGATTCCACCTAGGCTGTCTCTGGCCAAAACTTCCAGATCAGCGTGAAGGATTCCTGTCTGTACTAATGTTTGGTCTGGGGGATTGCGGCTCGGAAGCTTCGAGCCGTAGCGCTTCAGAGAAGCCCTCCCTGGTCCCTGCCAAGGTAGCCGCACTGCGAGCAAAGCTCCTGGCCAAATTTAACCAGCAGTCCAGTGACTCTCTTGCATGAAGCCAGTACGGAGGGCTTTCTGCTCAGCCCGAGACTCGTCAGAGATCACTGACCAAGGATTTGCCCCGGAGCACTTGTTTAGCCGCGACGAGGACAAGAGACTCGTGTTGGAGGAAGTGCTGCACTTGCAACCTCGCTGGTATCTTCGACGGGTGGTGGAGGTCGTCTGCAGATGCTGAAAAGCTTTCCAACGCTTTCTCAGGTATCACACAGAGGACAAGGCCCACGAAATTGCAGACCGGGTTATGGAGGCGTGGGACAAGAACGGTGACAAGGCCGTCCGCAGCAGACAAGCACGGATGCTTGCGAGTTCCGAGTTCCGAAGTTGACTTCGATGATATCGGCCACTTCAGGCGCTTGAACTATGTGAGATTGAGTTGGCCGCTTCTCGAACAGATACCGGGACTGCATGTTCAGCGTGTCTTAGTACAGTGTATAGTGTTTCATTTGTGCTGTGGTTGTGGTGGTCCTGCCGGTGGTGGCTGCTGGCTGTTCTTGGGCATTTTGTGTTGGTCCGTGTTGGTTATCTCATACGGTTTGCTGTTACATGTCGGTGCAGGCCACATGCAGGAGGCAGGGATGCAGTCCTGAAGCGGCCGTCCAACTCCGGCACCCCCCGCATCCCTTGCGGCTGCAACATGCAAGGACGGGAAAGTGTCTTTGTCGTCGCTCGACCCTGGTGCCCCCACAAGCCACTTGGCCTTGGACATGCGATAAACGGAACAGCTCTCCGAGTACGTATGCATGTGGTGCAGAGTACTCTGCAGATGTGAGTACTTTGCAGGCTTTCTGAAAGCACCTGAGCTGCATCGAAAGAATCGAAAGTGCAGTTTCAGATGTCTGCCATGATACCATTACCTCAGAGCAAAAACAAGCACCGTGCTGCTCCATTGCTTTAGCAGCTAGGCTTGTAGGGTTCCGCTGTCGTGCCCACTCAATCGGAACCTTCCACAGCTCAGGTGTGTTGGGAGCTGTTCATCGTGTGTCTCATATTGTACTTCGTGGCATGGACCTCAGCCCTTGTTTTCCAGGTGCACGTGTTGCTGTTAACTACATCTTATGTCGCATCGAAGTTGTCTATCCGCTTGACCTGCTCCGAGTCGTTGATTTTAATTTTCCTTCGCATACTCTCACACCAACGATTTTCGCTTCAATCAGTTTGGCTCTCCGCTCATGCCTTGGCCCGCTCACAGTCAGTGTGAGCCTTTCGACATCATCTTTTAACCCTTGTGCCGTGCATACTACTCGAATGGAGAAGGGAGCTCTAATGTGCCCGGCAAGAGAGCTTCTGTTTTTTCACTGCTTTTTGTGGCCTGGAATGGAAGGTTTCCATCATGAATCAGATGGCTCAATCCAAGCAAGCCGAGTATGACGAGGCCAAAGTCGAAGAGCCCGTCGCTTAGAGCTGGCGCCTGGCTGCAGCACAGTGCCGGCGCTGTGCAGCCTTTGACACTATCTGCAAAGGTTGCGGCGGAAGGGTGACAAAAAGAAGTGAGCAATGAAGCGGCTGAGACACTTGCAGTGTTGCAAGCTTTGTTTTCAGCCCAAAGGATCTTCTGCAAGTGTGGCTTCACCTGGAAGTCACAGGATGCGCTTAGCAAACCGTGCGTACCTCCGCGCTGGTCAAGCGAACGGAACAGTTTGCCCCGATCTTCTTGGGCTGGTGTCTGTGGTGCAGCCTACTGCCGAGTGAAGCACCTCGCGAAACCTTAAGAAACAAAGAGAGGTTACAATTCAGTACCGCTTTCAGAGAGGTCTTTACTCCCTGAGGGCCGTGGGCAAAGCTTCCGCCGTGCTTGGGGGGCCAATGCTGGCTTTTGCGAAGGCCGTAGGATGCCGTAGGGTGGGCAGGTCGTATCGTCAAGCAGGTCTGGCCTTTTGGCCCCCCTATCTCCAACTCATATGCCGTTCGTCAAAGATTGGCTGATGGCTAAGAGCCCGCTCAGCCTGCTCTCTGCAAGGCTGGTAGATGTTACAGTCGTGCCAGTCGAAACAGCTGTGGCTGGCGGTGTCTCGGGTGAAAATACAGTAGTGATAGTGCGATTTCGTGCATCGATGCAGACCAGGTGCTTTTTCTCCAACTTACGTTCCTGAAGGACTACAGAGATCTCTGCCTACAGTTTATGGAGCGTCCAGACCTAGTCAAGGAGCCATCCGAATGTGGCTTGCAGTGTGCGAGACTGAGGCCTGGAGCCTAGGCCCGAAGCCGTGTTGGTGACGCCTCCACCGGCCTATTCGGAAGCCCTGGACGTGCAGCAGGCACCAGAAAGTCTCCGTTCAGAAATTCCACAGGAATTGGTGTCTGTCTTTTGGTCAAGGAGGTAGTCAATCGGAGCTTGCCGGATGCAGTTTACCGAGTTGCGGAGGCAGCAGCACGCCGGGCATCTCAGGGGAAAAAGGAATACACGAGAAGGCCAACGGCGGGAGCTGTCAGACTTCACAGAGAGCTGAGGTGCCATCAATGAGCCGCTGGAGAAGCAGGCCCTTTCTGAGGTTCTACTTCGAGCTTTAGGATCTGACCTGCGCAGGCGAAGCGGTGCCGTACCACTTTGCCAGCTGAGCTGCTGGCTTCGGGCTTGGCCTAGACTGTACTGCGCATGGTGTGCAGATCTCATGAAGAGCTTTGAGTTGCTTGGGGCTTAGGCACGTACATCCTTGGTGGAAGCTTTCGATCTTCTCGGAGGCCAGGGTAGGGATGGTTTTGTTCTATTCGACCATCCTTGCTATGGGATGTCCGAACATCTGCATTGCAGTCACGTCCAAGACTCCACGGGACAAAGCATGTTTCGGAGCCCTCCTGTGCGCAGGATCAAAGCTGAGCAGGAGAACGTACTTTGCAGAAGATGGCATTCATCTGAATGAGAGAGGCATTCAACGGCCACTCATGCGGAATTCGACGGATTCTTCGCAGCTTTGACCTTGTCTGGTTTCCACAACTGTCTAGGCACGAAGCTGCTGGCAGTGGCCGTCTTTGCAGAACTGCGGTCCAAGGCACCTTGAAGTCTAAGAAGTGATATCTGAGTTAAGGCAAAGCGCTCTTCGGATTTCTCACGACCAGGTTGGAAGATACCTGCGTAAACGGGCCGATGAAGCTGCGCGGGCAGTACCTGACAACCCGTTGGGTCTCTGACATCCGCCAGGCCATGTACATCGCACCAGAGTGTAGCCAAAAGGACTCACTGTGACTGCCGAGCTATGTGGCCCAGGCTGGACGTCATCCTGAGCAGAAGTGCTTCGTGGCACTGCAAATGAACCCAAGCCCACGGATTTTGATTCTCCTTGGATGAGAGAGCCTTCAATCGTAGACCACAGTCGTTTCCGAGACAGGGAGATTCTCCGTGGAGCTTGACATCCTGTGACCAGCCAAAGATACAGCTGTGGTCCAACAGTGGCCTGGTTCCAGCAAGGAAAAGCATCGTCTGTTGATTCCTCGTGGTGGCATTGTATGTACTATTCCGTGCGTTCGATAATCGCAAGTGATGTATTTTCAGCACAATATTCTCTTGCGCTCGGCAAAGAAGGATTGCCAGAGTCTGCTGGCCTAGCAATGGCAAACGGTTTATTGGCTTCAGGACACGACAGTCTCACCCAGAATTGAATCGTTCTATTCAGCCGCATGTCCATTCTGTTCATGCCAACTCTCCGGTGCAATGCTGAAGACCTCGCCAGCGGCCGCCACTCCCTAGCAACCCAAGGACAAATCAGTGACACATGGGCCGCTTGAAAGTATCCATGGGGCCTGCTTTGGATAGCTGACGCTTCATGGGCTACGCACCCTTCGTGCCTCTGGTCGAAGATGCGATTTCTTTTCTTGTTATTGACTGCCTAAGCGTGAAGCTTCAGAGACAATTTAGGGTTTAACGATTGAAAGCAAGAATGCGTCTGGATTAAGAAGGCTTTTGACGTTCGTGGATGGGCTGGGATGAATTGCGCATTTCTGATCCTGAGCAATTCAGAGATCAGCAGAAAGCATCTTTTTGATCGTGTGCCCATGTCTACCTCAGTTGATCAACTTGTAGTCCATCTGGCTTCCTGAGTGTCGCTCTGGGCAGATTCACCGGTGCATCCTTTGTCCTGTTCATGAGCAGACCATTCGATCCCCCCCAAACTGTTCAGAGCATGAGATTTTGTAGCCACTAGGTCCGCCTCGCAAGTTGCGAGGAGTCGTTGAGCGTCCTAGCCACCTTCACTCCTTTCGTTCTTGAGGTTCAAACTGATGTCATGTTTTCAATGCTCGCCTTTTGAAAAATCGAAGCATCCATCAAGTCCAAGGATTGTCCATGTCTGAACGGCAAGAGAGGCGGACATGTTGCCTGAGAGGTACCGAGATATGGCTTCGAGGATGCGTACCCTCAGACATATGTGGAGGCAAGGCGATGACCCCCGAGAAGAGAACGGAGTTTGCAGATGTCCAGGGCTTAGCCAAGGTTTCTCCGAGCGGTCCATGGTACACCGAAGAGCAACCGGCAGTGTATTGGCAGCAGGACCAGCTTTCAGCAACCGAGCACCGCGCGCGTTTCTTTTTCGCACGCTCAGCGCGGAGTCTTTCACTTTGATCCTCGCGCTGCGACACTTCGTCTCTTCAGTGCTGCCGCTAGGAGATGGCAGCAGCGCAGCGCCGCGAGGCTGCAGAGGCACGCCGTCCAGACGAGGTGTATACGGATACGGCTCCGGGCTGCCATGAGATTTTATCATGACCCCTCGGCTGAGTCGAAGAGGTGCGGTTGCTGGAGTCCGAGCTCCATGCGGCTCGCACGAGCCCGCTGGCCGCGCTGCCGTTTTGAACTTAGCGGGGACCAAACTTCCTTGGTGATCCGTTGCATGTAAAGGGCATGTTGCAGCAACTGAACCGCGTGCGCGTGGGTGGCGGTGGCAATGCTGATTTCTACGCATGCCAGGCAGCTTGGCTTCGTGGCCCGGTCACCTGCATCGAGCACGAGGTCGTCTCTGCGACAGCATTAAAGTGACTACAGGAGTCGTCATTGTGGAACATCCAGTGTGCCAGGTCGTGCGGAGAAGATATGCGGCAAAGGTCTACCCTCCACATCCGAAAGCGAATGCTCGGTTTTCCTGACGAGTCGATGAAACTTTTTTTGGGGCTCTGGTTTTTCTCGGTCAGAGCTTGCTCCGTGGAGCTTCTGCAGCACGAAGCATTTCCTCAACAATGAGATAGACACGTATCGCATCTCACGCAGAACTTTATTTGGAGCAAATTCAAAAACTTGAAGGGACCACTATTCAGCTCTCTAAGCTGTAATCATGGCCTCTACGCTCGAAGCTCGAGATATCACAGAATCGCATAGGTAAACCAGAATTTCAGAGGAAAAGAGACTAAGAGCGTGGCCGCTGATGCTTCCTCTTTGCCACTGACGGTGGGCTTCGAGTCGCCAGTCCTCGTGCAGGACTTGCTGCGGTTGCTTTCAAATTTTGGACATGGCTGCAAGAGTCACTTCAACAGTGTTGATCAGACTTCGAGCAGTCGGAAAGCAGATATGTCCGCGATACCGTTTGTCAGGTCTCCACATCAGATACCAGTTCGACAAGTACTACACTAATCGTACACTTCCCACATTGGACATCCAGGACATGACGGCGGCCGAAAGGCAAAGGGATGAGGCGCATCCGAGCAATGCAGATGTGGTCTCGGCCGTGCAGCATATACTCTGTTACTTCTTCACGAAGTCATGTTCCGCGGCAGCTGAGCTGGAAATCATGTGTCTGGATAGTAAAATCTTGGTCGACGGCTGGCATCGAGTTCACCGTTACACTCTAGGGACTGTGTGGTCGTGTGCCCGGCAATGGCGTCGCACGTCCGAATTCAGTTGGACCGTTATGGCTAGGTTCCACAGGAGGAGGGGGGATGTCGGGCTTCCTGCTCACCGGTTTCAGCGTCCCTCTTTTTCCTCCATGTCTTCGGTACTTCCTGAACTCTCGAGGCATACGTCGCGTTTCAACTGGAACATAGGGCCAGACTTCAGAATGATGAGCTCCTGTGTCATGTGCTGATGCATCAACTATGTCACCATTTCTGAAAGTTGGCATTTCATGTAAAGTTCCAGCTGGCCAGGAGGGTTTGGTGGATGGAGAGGGAGAAGGACACGCCGAACTGTCCCAATGTGCAATGAGTGGCTAAGACACTTGAGGGCTCAAGTACTCCACGGTATGCGAGGCTTTTTCAGTTTCTCAGAGGCTTGCAGAGTTTTGCTGCTTTGCTGAGTTGTCAGAGGATGTTCACAGAGCTTCGCCGACATTCTAGGCGCGATTGCAAGATCCGACAAGCTCTGCTGATACCATCTGCTAGAACTTGTACCTGCTATGCCTCACGTCACTGTACACGCTGCATGTTGTATCGGCGACCCTTCATTCGTTGCGGTAGCTTGATCAAGTTAGGGAGCATGATGGTGCGCAGCGTCCGTTGGAGTCGGGCCGGAGATCTGGAAGCGCATAGACTGTACGGAAGATTATGGAAGTTGAACGACCGCTGAGACGTGAGTGGAACGTTGTGTGGCCTGTTGGAAACTGGCACGCGTACTGTTGGCCTCGGGACCTGAGAATGTTGTTGGGGAAGCCCTGGGAGACGTGTCAAGGGGAGAACGCCACGCCTTTGTTTTGCGAAGATGGGCCAGCTGGAGCTTGGTGCAAGACCGCACTTTGTCATCTGTAACCTGACCAATGCGCCAGCACATGCTCCCACTTGTGAGCCCTCAGCATGCCGGCCAAAGCGAATAGATGTGCAAACCTGAGGCCGACCTCCGGAAGCGGGTAGGCCCCGGGTGTGCCACCCGTTCGTTCCTGATGCTTGTCAAGGCCCGAGCTGCGTCATCAAGCGCGTGGATAAGGATCAAAAGGCACGGTCCCCAGGACACCGAGAAGGGTGTGCGTTGGTTTGCGTCTCTGTCTGAATGGTTGCGGCCTGTTGGCGGCATAAGAAGGTTTGTGCCCTGTTGTTCCCTCGCCATTGCAGTGACGTGTTCGTATTTTTCTGTCTGCTGTGTTTGTCCGTTCTTGGTGTCGTCTGTACTTGCGTTTACGGCCGTTGGACTGGTGGTGGCGGGTGCTGGTTGTGGTGGCAGTTCAGCAGTTGTGGCAGCGCAGGTCATGTTTGCAATCGTGGGTCGAGTGAGTGTCATCTTAATGTTAAGAGTACTGCTTCCACATTGTTGAAACAGTGACGACGGTTGTGTTAGAGTGCTCTGATCGTCGAGCGCTCATCTGTCAAAGTCGTGCACTATTCTCGGCCCAGGTCATCGGCCACGCCGATCCTAACGAGATGCAGCAGGAGCTGGTCGCGAGTCTGAAGCCCGGGCAGTACAGACCGTGGAGGCAGTTGTCGGGCGGTTCCAGCGTCCCAGCACGTTGCCATGACTAAGGAGCAGCGACTCAGAAAAGGCTCGGGGCATGTGTGCAGCCTAGATTTGCTCATTGAATACAGTGGTAGCGACCAAAGCCCCCGAAATGTATGTCAAGATCATGCTTAGGTGCAGAGCACGTCCACCATCTGCCCAGAAAGGAGCGGGAGACGACGGGAGCATGCGGCGTTGGGCCGGATCAAGTCTCAGCTTTGACTTTGCGGCTTTCCTCATGCAAAGGAGAAGCTGCAATGGGCTCTCGACCTCAAGGACCGAGCCAGTTCGGTAGCGGTTGAACAAGTAGCAGAGTAATGCGATGTGCTATCTCACGATGTCATGCTATGTCGACCTTGAGCCGTCTCTCCAACCTTTGCACAGCCTCAGTCAGTGTAGCTGAGACAGGGCCCGTTCGGACTTTTCGTTCGCACGATCAGATCCAGGGATGCTCAGTTTAGCCTTGGCTACCTGTCTATGACGGAAGGACAAGGCGAACGAGTGCTACACACAGAGCAGATTCGAGGAGGCACGAACAAGATGTAGGCAGTCAATTCTACATGTGCAGAACCTTCGATGATTTTGTGGCTTGCTCGCCACCTCGTCCGGGTACTGCTCAGAGCTGAATGCGGCACATAAACATAATACCCCACGTAGGACACCCAGAGCTTCCACTTTTTTGGGTATGATCAGTAAGCTACAAACTCCTCCGGCTGTGCCTGTAAAATTTCGGAAGTTACGTTGTCACGACCGTGAAGCCTCCATTGCGACGTTATCTAGGACCCCACAAAGATCTCACCGAGTTTGTCTCTGCTGGTTTGTGCACCACATGAGGATCTTACTGTCTTTCCGTCACAGCTTGGGCAAGCCTTGGCAGAACCCGAGGAGCATTCAAGAAGTCTACAGGCTTTTGTAAACAGCCGTGTGAGGCAGCGCGCCTCTACAACGACTGCTTGGTGGCACTGGACTTCGACGGCAAGGAGGATGAGACTGCAGAGGAGAGCAGCGAAGCCGTCAGACAGCCTTGTGATCAAGAGCTCGTCAAGTGGGTGGAGGTAGTGGCGAAACTGCAGCTACCCGTTTGCACAAACTTGGCCGCCTGCTTGATTGAGTGCTGGCCTCGAGTCTTATAGCTGCAAACTGTCAACAGGGCCGTGACTGCCATAGAACTCTTAGGATGGCGAAGTACGAGGAATGCGCGCGGGCGCCAGATGGGATGCGGGATGCCCTTTCACACCACGACCCAGGGAAGTTTCTCAGAAGTTAGATGAAGTTGCTGACACATGCCGGAGGCAGGATGATGCAGGATACAAGTCTCGTATGCGCCAGTATCTTGGCTCATGAAATTGGCCAAGAAGGCTACGAAGTGTAGCTCGGTAGTTCAGCCATGAACACGGACGAGGAGGCCTTACTGGGACGACAAAATGTGGTTTTCGCCAACAAGAGTGCGGGCAGCAGTTGTTGCTGCAAATGTTGCGGTTGCTGCTGCTGCTCGTTGTTGGGCCTCGTTGTTTGGGTCGTTTTCTTTATGATGACGACGGAGTGTGGCACACGCGTCTCGCCGGTCGAACACATTCTCCCGGAAAATGCCCTGGCGGCCACGGCCCTACTGGTCATGCTTCCCGTCAGGGCACACATTGAACATAGGCATTGAACATAGATGTCGTGCAGACAGCAAGGGTGAGCCCTTAGGGGCTGATCTTGACAAAATTGCCTTTAGGCCGGTCTCACGCCGCCCTTCGAGAGCGGGACTTTGGGCAACATGCCTCCAGGATGCGGCAAGAGTGAGTCAAAAGCACAGCGGGCTCAAACTTACTGGGCTTGAAACGCAGCTCCAGGTTCCTGGATCCTGCGCTGGATCTGAACTTCACAGGCCTTGGTGGGCCTGCTTCTCACGCTCAATTTGCACAATGCGACGTCGAATTCTCGTAGCCGTGGCATCAGCCTTGTCTATCTGTGCTGCTCGTTGTAGGAATATGGTGGATGGATGGCAATCCATTGATATGGGAGTGGCTTGGGTGTTATCTTGAGTCAAGCCATGCCTGGAGGTAGTCTGGAGGTCCAGCGCTGTATTCACAAGCTAAGTGTGACGGAAGGCTGAAGGGATGTGTACACATGGCATGCGCCGTAAGAACGAAGCGCTTTTTGTCCTTTCGTGAGCGCCAGTGCGCCACTGACCGGGCCGAGGCAGCTCGTGTCCTTCGCAGGGGCACAGGGCATGGCGCCGTATCCAACGACTGTGTACAACCCCTCCAGCTTGGCAGGTGCGACGGTGCGACATAGTTGTTTCCTCCAAAGCTCTGTTGTTCCCACATCAGCTGAGAATGAACGTCTCGAGGTGGGGATCCCTCCCGAGAATTTAGGATGTTTTGAAGAAGCCAGTGGTTGTTGGCTCGAGGCCACTGGACCTGGTCTGACAATTTCTTTGGCCGTGGCATCATGATGTTCCTCGGTTCATGCTGAAACTGATGACGACGAGGTTTCTTTCGTCTCGATGATTCAACAGTTTGTAAATCACGTAGCTGCGAACCGAAGGTGTAGCATTTCGAGCATTCTTCATTAAGCATCATCCACCCCTTGCAAAAAACACGAAGAGAGTTTTGGCAATAAGGCAGCATGCATGTCAAGGCACAGTCCTCGCTAGACTGTCAGCACTGTGTGTGGCTCCCGGACCCGTACCGGCCAAGGTTTTATGCATTCACTGAAGTTGCAGAACCTCGGCTTTAGTCTGCAGCTTCAAACGCTCCGTAAGAATTAATGATAGATTGCTGCATTAAGGAAGCAACTCACGACTTCTTCTTTACGAACAAGACGTATGCAGATATCGATGCTACATCGGACTTGGTCTTTGGAGACGGCACCTTCCCAATGTCGAAGATCAATGAGGATGAATGGGATAGGGTGAATAGTTACGTCCTTCGTCGCATCGTCTACGGAGACGGAACTCCTCATCCTGTGTTCTGGCCCAAGTTCCTCGACTGGTACAAGAGCACTTTTCCAGGTCTCGGTATCGCAGTGATGAGCAGCAACAATGATTGTATACGGAGATGTCAGTACGTCGCACCTTGCATGGTCTGTCAACCTCTCTGTGGAGTGGCCTGAAGAAGTGAAAAGGGAACTTGCCCTGGCAGCAAAAGGCTGTGGAGCAGACATGTAGCAGGTAATTGAGAGAGTCGCTCACTGCCGACACTTGATTTGTTTCCGCACTGCGCTTCTTATGTACTGTCACGCGTGACCCAGGCCAGAGCCTGTTGAGTCTGCGAGTCTTGGTGCGGTGTGTTTTAAAAATAGGCGCACCGCCACAAAGACGGGCAACATCGACCTGACCATCGAACATGCTGTGGCAATGACCAAGGCAGAAAGGAAATGCAGTCTCTTGAGAGTTGCAGTGTGTTTGTCTTTGGTGGACAGGGGAGCTCAAGCTGCCATGCCCAGGTGCGAATGTGTGACATTGCACTCTCTGTGGATCCCACAGCGCCGAAGGCATCCATTGGGAATGGGAGACGGTTTGCTTGGCAACTTCACGCTGGACTCCAACGTCAGTGCCGCATGTGAACAGCTTGCTAATATCTCTTGCCAGCGCATGCCCTTGCGATTCTCGTGAAGCAGCTGCTCAAAGTTTGCCAACTCACGTCATGGATTCAATTACTCCATTCAGGATCCTCGTTTGCAGGTGAGCATGGACCTTTGCATTAACTTCTCAAGCGGCATGCCAGTGTTCAGTTTGAAGAGTTGTTCGTTTCATTCTCTGACTAAGGCCATGTGGCCTTGTCTTTCTTTTTGGTGCAGCTGCGCTCCTCATCTTGAGTAGCATTATTGCATCTTCGTCCATGACGAAGCAGGATCAGCTCGGAGCTGGAGCTTCGAGGTGCACGGCAAGAGAATGGACACATGAACGTATATGAACGTGCTGCCAAAAGAGAATAAGCAATGGGACACACACACGTGCCCACTACACCCGACACGATCAACATCTCTCTCGCCCGAGGCTCGCTCGGGCCGCCAGGCAGATTGCTGCACATGACGCGAGTTTCTATGAGGATCAGATCATGAAGGTGGGGTGTAACAGTGAATGGAGCCGCATGTCTTAAGACCGCCAGAGCGAAGGAGTCCGAGGTCTAGCCGGGGAATTCAGCATTCAGCCCTCATTGAAGGCTGCTGCAGCCGGAAACCCTGCTGTGCAGTTTGACAATGATTGGTTCATGAAGCACTGCCGCTGGGCCTGCAATCTACAGATGAGCTGGATTTCGCTCCGGTGCATGGAGCGTCCTTGCTTTTAATCCGTCGCTGCGGTTTTCGTGTTAGCACTGACTCGGCACTTCTAAAGCGTTGCAACTTGGTGGCCTGGCAGGTGATCTATCAGAGTTCCAGGAAGACCAGGTCTTCCTCAGACCAGAGTTCCGCTACAGAGCCTTGCCTCAGCAGAGCTGCGCTTTGATTTGCAAACTGTTGGCAAGTCATTTTGCAGACTAGACTGAGACGCTAGGCTCAATCTGTAGCCTCAATCTTGCGGTATGCATTAGAGCGGTTTGCGTGTTCGAGGCACGAACCCCACGCTGGATGCAGCCAGATGGAAGGTGGGCACGAAATGCCGGCGGCTAAGTGCGCCTGCGTTTCTTTCGGTGGTACGGGTGTTTCTAGCGACTGAGGTGCTGAGAATGGTGATGGCCGCGCGCCGTGGTTTCCTCGGCCGTCTGCATTCATCGGCCGCCCTTCCTTTCTTCAGTTCAGCTAAGGGAGATCCACCAAGACATCACGACTGACGGCGACTGTGCAAAAATGTAGCTTTCCTGCACATGCCACGGACCATGGCGTGAAGATGTGATGAAAGAAAGTCCTGTTTATTGATTTTGCTTCGCGTGGTGGACATCGACAAGCAAGATTGCCGTGCATGCAGGAAGCACCAGCAAAAACAGTCATGAGGCACTTTTTCTTCCTTTTAGTTGCCTACCCCTCCACTCCGCTAACCATTGCTACGAAAACCAAAAACTACTACTACTACCACCACCACTACCACTGCCACTGCCACTGCCACTGCCACTGCCACTACCACTGCCACTGCCACTCCCACTACCACTACCACTACCACTACCACTACCAC